GGGAAAGAGCATGTCTAATGTTTATTTTGCTTATTCCTTTCTAAATTCAGTTAAACATATTTGGCCAGCATTCAAGTGCTTGAATTTTAAGGATTTTTTATATTTCAACTAATTTGGAGTGGTACTAAAAAAATTAGTATTTTACTTGCCGCCTTTCAATTTTAGGTTTTTTTTGAATTTCTGAATTTTTTTTTTTAGACAGCAGGTTCTTATTAGTTATCTATTTTATACATACTAGTGTATATTTGTCAATCTCAATCTCCCAATCAATTTTAGTTTTAATATTAATTTGTATTCTTTCTCCACAGAGACAGAAAATAAGACCAACCTACTTGTATGTGGTTCAGCCTATCAGTCTTGTAAATGATTCCATGAGACAGATTTATATAACTGAATCTTCATAACTTTCATAAAATAATCTCGAAATATCTAGTAATTAGCTAAAGGATCACAGATTTTCACTAGTAGATACTTGATTCTATTCAGATTCTGTTCTTCTAGAAATTTTCTGAAACTTGAAATTTTCAGAAGTTTACTCTTGTCTGAAACTATCTTCGATTACAATAAAAATGAAAGGTTTTTAGGAAGTTGGACATATTATAAACATCTAAAAATTTACTTATTAATTCAAAAGCAATGAGAACAACTTAAGTGCTGTAAACTGGACAAGGTAAACCATAATCTGAACGAGTACAACTTGTGTTTAATTTTATTTTCTCCCTCATGGTGGAATGGAAAAATGGAAAACTTACATGTTTTAGTCATTAAAAAAAAAAAAAACACACATACACAAGATAGTAGAGAGAGTTGCCACAAATGTATTTGTTTCACACTTTTTGGATGTCATATTTTGGTTCCAACATTATTAATCACAGAAAGTAACCATTTCGCTGACATTCAGTAAGTAAAATAGATCTCAGTAAAATAGAATCTGCACTCTAGGTTGGACAACATCAGTGCAAAGTCACTGTACTTCAGTGTGCTAAATGGTTCCTAGCAAAACTGATCATTCACATGAGGAAATGAAACTTTAAAACATTTAGTGATGGATTAATCAAATGCATATCATTTTACTATATGAAGAGCCTCACCCACCCACCAAATTCAATTTAGGAACAGACAGAATTTTTTTATTAACCTGATGACCAACATTTCTGTTTATTATTTGTTGAAATTTACTTCTTTTCATCACCCATAAAAAGCAAGGACAAACTTCCTTTAAGGTTTCTATTTTTCATCAGTATTCATCCAAACAAGTTTCAATAAAAGGTGATAAGGTTAAACCTGCATTTCCCTTTATGTATATCTAGTTTGCAGAATGAAACTATGAACAAAAACTAAAAGAAAATAAAAATTGAAGCCATCATTTAATGATGACTATATAGAAGGCAAGAGGCACAAATTCCCAGGTGAATTTTAATCATGTCTCCTCTAAGTCAAGTCATTCAGAAACGAATAGCAAGTGATATTCACTTTAGTACACAATTTGTAAATGTGGAAGCAGGAATAGTTGTCATGATTATTTTATATTCTATCTCTGTTAAGAGTGGCTCTAAAAACAGTCTGATGATTCGTAAGGCTAGATAAGCAAATCAAACTTTATTATAAACATATGACAAATTCTAAGTTGCTGGCACTGAAACGGTGGGTTTGCATATGGACAAGTAAGCTGTTTGCCTTAAATCTTTGGGGTACCTTGGCTTTTAATATTTTGTTCTGATATTCAAGCAGAAAATACATAACTGCATTTTATACAGTAAGCTGATCTAAGAGTGGAAAATTTGTAGGGATGAAGGAAATTCCAAGTTGTATGTATGCATATAAGTGGCTTTATATAATAAATGTACAGCCATTAAAGTTATACAGGGACAGTGCAAGTTAAAACCCTCAGCTCCTGTTTACAGATTGCCAAATTGCCAAATCTAATCCTTCTTGTCCGGGTTACTGATAACATAACTTATTTGCTTAAAGGTAAACTATGACCTCCTGCTACTATACATTGTATTAAGAATGACATACCAATATCAATCTAGAAGGTGAACTAAACATGTAATAAACATTAAAGTCATATGAAATTTTGTTTTCAGTTTGCTGGCAAAATTTTGCTTCTTCCCGAGATCATTTTTAGTTCAGCATTAGTGCTACACTAGCTAGAATTTAATTCATATGAGTGTCTTTATTCAGTTTTCAAATTTGGAATACCTTGAATCCAAAATGTATACCAATAACCTTTTTAAGAAGTGAAGGGTCAATATAATCAGCATGGACTTTTTCTACCAGTTTCACTTTCTAATCCATTTCCCACCAGCGGTATTTCACTCTTATCCCTCATAATTTCAAAACGAAGTATCCAGGTGATGTCTTTCAGACTAACCAGGAATCTAAATCTCAAACACTATTTTGAAGAAGAGTAGAGTAAATAATCTTGGTAATCTGTAAAACAGCTGCGTGCAGCGTGTACTGTATTACAACAGCACCAAACCCTTTATAAAAACCAAGCATTCCTTCTTCCTGCCTTATGGTATTGATACAGTCTCTCATTCCCTCATACTGTGTATTAATTGGAAGCACTTCATAGCCAAGGTCTGTATTGTCAATTATTGTGCGTGTTCCTTGAATGTGAAGGCGGTGCAAAACTGTTTCCAATGGGTAAAGTATAACATCAGAGCAAAGACTGGCAGCAAAGTTAGCAATAAGCTCTGGAAAATAAGCATCCAACATACTCTGCACTGGGCTAGTGCTCTCAGCTAGGTGGCTATTGTAAGTCTTTCTCTTTAGAATTAGCAGGACAATCTTCTGAATGACTGAGCTGATAATGTAATGAAGAACCCCATGCAGCACCGTAGGGAAGATCAAGGAAAGAAGCGGAAGTAGTCGTTTGCTGTGAGGCACTCCCAAGCCTATCACTCTTCCAATTCCTTCTTTAATACATTCCAAAATTCCAGTATTGTCTCGAATTATCTCACTCTGAAATGAAAATGATGAAATGAGTAAAAGTTAACATCTGCTTATTCTGCCACAAAGAAGGATTCTTTCTAGGTCCCTTTTAAATCCTAATTTTTTGACTAAAGAGGAAAAACATCAATGGTTTGCAAACTTCAAATGTTATCTAGGCATTAGATTCTTTTTTCAAATAAAATTTCACAAAACAGATAGCAGTGAAGCTGGGAGCTATTCTTATTCGGGGAGGGAAACGAGAAGAGATGTGGAGGGTGACACACCTGGTTTCCCCACCCTCAAGAACCTCCTTAGGACACATTTTGAAAAGCAACAAATATTGTACATGACATTGAAGAGGTAGCACAGTGCTTGGAGTTCTTAAGCATTGCTTTAAAACCCACCTCCATTATGTACTTACTGGTCATGTGACCATGGGCAACTTACTTAACTTCTCCTAAGAGTCAGTTTACTGTTCTACAAAAATGGAATTAGGCCTACCTACCTCTTATGCACAGAGCTGCTGGGAGCATTAAATGAAAAAAGGCCTGGTACACAGACACACTCAATAAACATGAGTCATTATCATCTGCATTGTCTCTGCTTTTTTACAATTATGAGGATATGTATTAGGAAGTTTGTGATACTGGTTACAGAGGCATGGACAGGCAAAAAAGGAAGAACTAAGAGGCCAATTTGGCTGCAGCAATGACTGAAGAAGAGAACAGCAAAAAATGAAGTTAAAAGGTAGTCGGGGCCATACCATGCCACTGTGCAGACCTTGGCCTCCAGTCAGATGGGAAGTGACTAGTTGGTTTTAAGCATAAGATGCATAAGATACAATTTATGTTATACTGGCTGTTGTGTAGAGAATGAGAGCAGAGGCTGAGAAACCAGTTGATGGTGGACTGGACTAGCAGGTAGCAAAGGAAATAAAATGCTGCAACTGTGCTTTTATCCTAAAATTACAGCCAATAGGAATTACTGGTAGATTTGATTTGGGGTGTGAAAAAGAGAACACAAGGATGACCTCAAAGCTGTTGGCCAGAGGAAGTGGAGGAATAGCAGTGCCTTTTACTGAGTTGGACAGTATTCCTGGGGTAGCAATTTGGGGGGAGAAGATCAAGAATTCAGAAATGTTAAGTCTAAGGTGTAAACTCCAAGTGGAGTTTATAATCTAGACTACAAGGAAAAGGTCCGAGCTGCATGTACAAATGTGAGTTTACAGTGAAGAGAACATATTTAAAACCATGAGACTAAAATGAGCTCACCTAAGCTAATCCATTTACCTGCCTCTGGCCCCCTTCCCAGTCCAGTTTATTTTTAATACAGCAGCCAAATAGATCCTATTAAAGACATAAGTTAGATCATGTCACTCTTCGCTCAAACCTATCAAAGACTTTCCATCTCCCTCAAAGTAAAGCCAAATTATTACAGTGATCTTCAGTGTCCTGTGTGATCTCTCTCCCTCTTACCTCTCAGACCTCATCTCCTCTTGTTCTCCCTTCCTTAGTCAGCTTCAACTGTATTGGCCTTCATTTTGCTCCTGAAACACGTAAGATATAATCCTACCTCAGGGGCTTTGCACTTGCTTTCCCTCTGCTTAGAATGTTCTTCTCCCAAATATCCATGTAGTTCTTATGTTCAGACCTTTACTCAAATGACTTTTGCTTCTGAGAACTTTCCTGATCTTAAAAAAATAGTAACATCCCTTGCTACCCATTACACATCTTATTTCATTTCCTTGTTTTATTTTTTAGCACTTAGCGCTATGAAGTATCCTTTTGTTTATCTTGTTTATGTCCATCTTCCCCACAGGAATGTAAGTGCCATAAGGGCAGAAAGTTTTTGTTTGCTATGTTATCCCCAGGGTCTATACCAGTGCCTGATATAGGTTAGCACTCAATAAATGAATTTAATTCATTTATTTAAAATTTAAAATTTTAAAATGAGCTTTTAAAAAAAATTAGCAGTTAAGAAAGATTAGCTGAAAGGTAAAGTCAGTAAAAACTTTGATTTAATACTATGCTGAGAAGTCTGAAATTGATCTTCAAGAATATGAGTCAACGTGGATCCTTAATCAGCGAAAGGATATAAGCACTGCAACTTAAGAACACTAATCTTGTATGAATATGTAGAATGGACTTGAAAATGCAGGAAACAAAACAAAGATTCTTCGTAAAGACAACAGATCCTAGGAAGTTCATATTGAAGAATGGTAGTGTTCTTTAGGAGATCTATATATACATGTGTATTTTTCAAGGGAAAGACTGTTCTCAAAGAGATCTGAGCTCCCCAGACAGGCAAAAAACCACTGAACATGGTAGGGAGAAAGAAGCTGATGTAAACAAGAAGGAAAGAGAATGGTGGCCTATCGGTGGGGAGGAGCAGACAATCTCAGATACTCCCTGAGGTTAGAACTGAGAAGGCATGATGGCTGATTGGTTATGAAGGATGAAAGAAATAAGAAAATCAAGACTTTTGCAATTTTTCGATTCATATAAAGGTGAGAGTTAAAAGGATTCATGCAAGTAAATGAGTTCTCCAGGACAGTGAATATGGGACACAAAGCAGAGAGGGTCAAGGATTGTGCCTTGGAGCTACAGGAGAAGAGATGGTAAGAGGTTACTAAAAGAAAAGGAGGATGTTCAAGAGAGTAGAAATTGAAGGAAAAAAAAGAGAACTAGAAAATCAGACAAAAGGAGTCAAAAGGAGGCGGTCAGCAGGTGGAACCTGGGGCAGAAAAAAAAACAGGGCATTTGGGTTAAAAAAACAAAACAAAACAAAATGAACATATAGTGAGCTGGGTACTTTACATAAATAATTCACTTAATTTTTATAATTCAGTTAATAAAATACTATTCCCATTTTATGTATGAGAAAATTAAGATTTAAAAAAGGTTAGGACATCTGCTTAAAGTCACAGGTCTAAGTTAAGTAGAGAAATGTGACTGTGATATGGGTCTGCATAAAGCTAAAACTTGTTTTCCCCCAATATATCATGCTGTTTCGTTGTTTTTCCTTAAATAATTATCTTCCTGCTATTTTTTCCCCTTATCTATAAAGTGAGGCTATGTCATAAAGTGATAATTCTGTAAACTGCAGCCCCATACAAAGGTTATATCCTTTCACATTGCCAAATGCAAGGGGATAGGAGACAATATTTGGGTAGCAAGATGTTAACTTCAGTTAATAATTCTAAAAAATAAACACATAAAAAATCAACAATAGGTTCTGCCCCCAATCCACCCCCAACTGAATCTCTGCCCTGGGGTTTGAAGGCAAGCAGGTAAATGTGAAACACATAAAGGACTTCCTCAGTTTGTGCCGTGCTCCACTGCACTGTGTAGTGAAGTGAGAAAGGTCTGTGATGGTTCTGGAGTTCCTTCACCATTTGGTCCAATTTGTACTGTAATAAGTCAATGTTTCTAAAGTTGTGCAGGAAGATGGGGTCATTACGAGTTTATGCATGAATAAAGTTTTTTCTGCCTTTAAAAGAAAAGAAAAGAAAAGAAAAACAACGATATGGCCAGAAAAGCAATTAAGTGGAAAAGAGTAATTAGAAAAGGAAAGGCTGATCTAGTGAGGTTTTATAGAGAGGAAACTCGTAACTGCTGATTATGACAAAGAAAAAAATATGCTAGAGGATCTGATGTTGGAGACAGAAGACAAGTGGTAGACAGTTAGTTGGATTTTGTGTACAGGGTAAAGTTAACCTAGCTCTCTTACAGTTTTAAATGCAGGAACGGTATGTGAGAAAGTACATTAATTCAATGTACTTGAAGTGCCACCATGTGGTTAGAAATAGTGAAACAATTTAAAATGCTAGCAGGAGATTGCTTTCGCTTTGTTGTATACACTAAACACCATAGCATCAAATCTTCCTTAAAAGGCATATTTAAAAAGAATGCTGTTAGTAAACTACCTATGGAGACTACCTTCTCACTGTTAGGATGATTATCCATCATGTTTTATGTTCAGGTAATTAGTAATTTATTGTCTGATAAGCCATAACTATTTGAGTTATTAAAAAGTTGGAGAAAAAAACAAAAACAAAAAACCCTATAGGATTTTTTGTATTCAGAGAAGGTCATAGGCTGGTTTCTGAGATATCTGAATGAAGAGTACAGCTGCCTGTGTAAGGGCTAAAAAGAATTAAAAGTGTGAAGTAAATCTGCAAAGGAAACAGACACACCAGCAATGTGCCTAATATATAATCTTTGATATATGTATGTATGGTATCTGAGAAAAAAACTTTTTATAGAAGGATACTGTCTTAAATTTTTCTGTTATACTATCAGACATACACACAATATACTGAATACTCCAACAACATTTTTAATTAAAAAAATGACAGGAAAAAATAGCTCACCTGTACTGTTTCGATTAGACTTGCTGAATAAAAAGGCATTGCCACTATATAAGTTAGCCTGTAGAAATTAAAACAAACTTATCAGTATACTGAAACAAGATGCTTACACTAAATTTTTTAATATCTACATTAATACATCAACATACTTTATATTCAAGCTTGAATAATATCTTCAAGGTTTTTAACTATTAATACCTATAGCCTAAAGATACTTCAGAACCTGTAACATAAGATGCTTTACTCAACAATTAGAGATGAAAAATTAAGTATTAATAATAACACAGTGACGGCCTGTAAAGAAAATTATTTTAAACCAGTAAAATGTAGGCTTGTTTATGATTCACTGTTTGGACGTCTACCTGCACATAGCTAATGTAGCCTGTAAATCTGATACCTAAAATTTAGGTTGAGGGATCCATTCCATTGCTTGCCTTTTTAGTGATATCTGAACAAGGCTACTGTTCTGCTATTGTCCTATCTATTATCATTATCCATTCCCAGATTTCCCACCCAGCAGAGCTAAGCCAGTCTTGCATGGTAAGTGAAGTCCCCTTTTATTATTAAAAAACAATATTGTGCTTGAGAGTCCGCCTGCCGGTGCAGGAGACGCGGGTTCGTGCCCCGTTTCGGGAGGGTCCCACATGCCGCGGAGCGGCTGGGCCCGTGGGCCATGGCCGCTGAGCCTGCGCGTCCGGAGCCTGTGCTCCGCAAATGGGAGAGGCCACAGCAGTGAGAGGCCCGCATAACGCAAGGAAAAAAAAAAAAAAAAAAACAATATTGTACAGCTTTGCAAAGTTGCCTCCTATTGCCACTATTTAGACATAGTAATATTACAACTTTGCAAGCCTGCAAAATATAGTTATCTAAAATAATGTCAAGGTGGGACTTACCTAACCCTATGGGCCAGGTCCTGGCAAGTAGTGGTTTTCAAGGTGAATGGAACATCACTAAGTAATAATGTGCTGGAATGTCCCACAGAGGGAGCCAGCAAGCTGGGGGGTTTCCAATTCCCAATCTTCAAAAAAAATTAAAAAATGAAGAGTAAAATTCTAATCTATAAAAATGGTCAGTGTTGTAAAGTCACTAAGTGCCTTTAGGACTACGTTTTAATGACACTAAGGTTTTGAGTTTACTCATCACCATACAAATATAAATTTGTATGTCTGCTTACTAAGAGAATAATGATAATAATAATAAGAGTAATAATTTTCTTGGCAATTCAGGTTTAACAAGTTGAAGATCTTTGCTAACTTCCTAAGAACACAAAGAAAAATTAGGTTGTGATTTTAGCCTTTCAAATTAGAAGGGTTATTTAAAAGATAACATATATTTCAGGATTTTATTCCTAAACTCTATGTTACTTTTCTGATTAAGTTCTAGTCCCACAAATATTTCATTGCTCTACTTTCCTTCACTTTGTTTATTTAATAAGCTTTTTTTCAGTTCTAACACTATAAAAATGGATGTAAATTTCAATATAAATGCTGCTTTTGATACTTACGATTTCAGTAGAAGGTGTTCTCCTATTTGTTTAGGATTCCATTTATGTGAAATCTCCCTAAAAAATAAATTAAATAAATAAAATAAAAGCCATGTTTTTTAAAACATCTTGAATTAGCTTAAGCTTTATAAAAGTAATCAATTTTTAATTTTTTTTTAATCCGTAGGAGAAATATATTCTCATGATAAACATTTTCCTTTTTGAGACCCGTCAAACAATTACAGTGGGTTGAAAAGAGAAGAAACATGGGTCTTTCTGTATGTGCTGACAGAAGGGGATGACAGAGGAGGAAGAGTTATAACTGATTATAAAAATGAGCATGAGATATTAGATAAGATACAAAAATGATAGACTGAGGAAAACAATGGATGGGGAAGAGAAAGGGAAACAATAAAATAGGATAAAGGAATAAAAAAAAGCTTTAAAATGTATGTAAGACGGGCTTCCCGGGTGGCGCAGTGGTTGAGAGTCTGCCTGCCGATGCAGGGGACAGGGGTTCGTGCCCCGGTCCGGGAAGATCCCACATGCCGTGGAGCGGCTAAGCCTGTGTGTCCGGAGCCTGTGCTCCGCAACGGGAGAGGCCACAACAGTGAGAGGCCCGCGTACCGCAAAAAAAAAAAAAAAAAAAAAAAAAAAAAAAAATGTATGTAAGAATGAGAATTAGAAAACAAAACAAAATTAAGTAACTGTAATTCAGAATGACACATACATTTGTATAGCCCCTAATTTTCAAAGTGCCTTTACTTATTGAGATGACATTACTTTTGTGACCTTTATTATATTCTATTATCTTTTTCAGCTCCTACTATATGCCAGGCATTGTGCAAAGCACTCTGCATAAATTACCTCTAACCCTCACAATGAACCTATAACCCCCAATTTCATAGATGAGGAAATTGGCTCAGAGATGGTTCATAACTTACCCAAAGCCATGCAACTAGTTAGCGGTGCAACTTGGTCTAAACCCTGGTCCGTATGAGTTGAAGTCTATACTGTCTGCCTGTACTGCCTCTCAGCTCATTTGATACAAGAAGGAACCCTGTGAGATAAGCAGACAGGTACTGTCCTATTTCTTTTACTTACGAGAAAAATAAAGGTCAAAAAGATCACAGGTGGGCATACACCCTGAGAAAACCATAATTCAATAAGAGTCATGTACCAAAATGTTCATTGCAGCTCTATTTACAATAGCCCGGAGAAGGAAACAACCTAAGTGTCCATCATCGGATGAATGGATAAAGAAGATGTGGCACATATATACAATGGAATATTACTCAGCCATAAAAAGAAACGAAATTGAGCTATTTGTAATGAGGTGGATAGACCTAGAGTCTGTCATACAGAGTGAAGTAAGTCAGAAAGAGAAAGACAAATACTGTATGCTAACACATATATATGGAATTTAAGGAAAAAAAATGTCATGAAGAACCTAGGGGTAAGTCAGGAATAAAGACACAGACCTACTAGAGAATGGACTTGAGGATATGGGGAGGGGGAAGGGTAAGCTGTGACAAAGTGAGAGAGAGGCATGGACATATATACACTACCAAATGTAAGGTAGATAGCTAGTGGGAAGCAGCCGCATAGCACAGGGAGATCAGCTCGGTGCTTTGTGACCACCTAGAGGGGTGGGATAGGGAGGGTGGGAGGGAGGGAGACGCAAGAGGGAAGAGATATGGGAACATATGTATATGTATAACTGATTCACTTTGTTAGAAAGCAGAAACTAACACACCATTGTAAAGCAATTATACTCTAATAAAGATGTTAAAAAAAAAAAAAAGATCACAGGGATATGTTCAAAGGAGAGAGGCAGAATGCCAGGTCTGGAACCAAGGTCTAGGACTGCGTGCTTCCTACTATTTAGGTTACCTTTGGAAACCAGAAAAGAGAGAAGAAAAAGAAGAGAGGCAAACTGAATGAAGAACAAAAAGGGAGAAAGTTATATCAAGAGAAAAGTCAAATAGGAGAAAAGAACATGGAGAATAAAAGGGAAAGTAAAAAGGAGGCGGTGGGGCTTCCCTGGTGGCGCAGTGGTTGGGAGTCCACCTGCCAATGCAGGGGACATGGGTTCGTGCCCTGATCTGGGAAGATCCCACATGCCGCGGAGCGGCTGGGCCCGTAAGCCATGGCTGCTGAGCCTGCGCGGGGGGAAAAAAAAAAAAGGAGGCGGTGTGGGGTGAGAATGAAAAGGCAGACAGAGGGGATGGAAGGGAGGGGAGGGGAGGGAGGAAGGCAGAGTAACAGAGAAAAGGAAAATGTAAAATAAAGGGGAGACTGGCTGCCACCTGCTCCCCTGATGACATTGGCACCCATGTACCACGGCCACAGCAGGAACCTGAGAAAAACATTTTCTATTTGAAATGAGTAAGTATGACAATCATAAGGAGACAAAGGAATATATTTTATACTAAAAAGGTAAAGGAAATTAATCACTGATAATGTAAGTGCTCTAAAAACAAACTCAGTACACTTATGGCATGGGTCGTATGTGAACTTTTCTACATTTTTCTAGGAGACTGAAAGGTCTGCAGAGAAACTTTTAGACAACAGAACAACGATCTCTGATTCATCACATTCGGATTAAATTAATACCAGACTACTATATGAGGCCTGAACAACTATCGAAAAATATAGCTGGAATGACATTTAAGGATTAAGACGAAAATTGTAAAAAAAGATTCGGCTACTTAACTTACTGACAGTGACTTTATGGTTATAAAACAAAATATGCTAAAAGGTTTGTAAATCTTCTGGGCACTGCTATTACTCTTACTATGGCCTCAGAAAGGGTTACCATAGGTTATTATGACATTAAGTTTGCACACTCCATTAACATTATGGATAGATGGGTCTGTGACCTGCATTTCTGTAAGGACTGGGCCACCTTTCCTTTGAATACTAACTACTGCTGCCGGTTCGTAAATTATTAGGAATTAAGGTAAAAAGGGTGAAAAAAGAAATTTAGAATCAAGTATAAAAAAAACCCTCGCTCTTCCTGGTATCTGCTTTCTACTCCTTTATAAAATGTGTAAAACTTATTGCCACAGCTCTAGAAATTTAAATTAGCACATTTAAATGCTTCAGGAAAAAGGGTAGTGTAAAAATCTACTTGTGATTAAACCTTTTTATATTTCATCATCAAATACCAAAATATATAAGTATATTTAACTCGCTATCTTCACAAGCAAAAACTGCCCTTCAAATGAGCAACAAAATTAAGTGAAGTGACTTACTTTTTATCAGTTTTTCATTTGACAGACTAACACACATACTCCCATGCATAATCAATACACAAAAGCAATAGAATTTTTAAATAACGCTCTATTTATACAGTCTACTTTCCATTGCCTCTTATTTTCCCGTGCTCAAACAAGTGCCCTCTTAAAAAAAAAAATCTCCCCTCATCTTCCAGCTCCTTCTCTTCATCTCTCCTCTTCACAGAGGACTGTCTAAACTTGCTATTTCCATGTCCTAGCTTCCCAATCACCCTGAACCCATTCCAAATTGGCTTCTACCCTATTATTCTACAAAAACAGCTCTTGCCAAGGTCCCCATGACCTCCACATCACTAAATCAAATAGGCATTTTAAGGTTGTGCCTTATTTGACTTCTCAGCAGCCAACATGCACTTGTGTTCTTCCCTCCTTCTGGAAGCACTCCCTGCCCCTGTATTCCACTATCCCACACTCTTCTGGTTTTTCTCCTCTCTTCTGGTCTCTACTTTTGACTCCTTTGCAGGGGCATTTTTCTTAACTCAGCAACCTATTCTGGAGTTCCTAAAGGCTCAAGCCCTGTTCTTTTCTTACTATATGTTACATTCCTTCCCCAGGCAATCTTACCCAAGATGATGCTTCAGAACCTCCCAAATCTATTATCTTCAGTTTAGACTTCTCTCTGTGTCAAAATGAACTTGTCCAAAATCAAACTTATAACTTTTCTTTCTTACTCTTAGACCCTTTTACTGTTCCCTAATTGAGAACTTAATCAGAAAGGAAATCTATTGAATTGGAGAAAGAGTTCATTGTATTTAAAATGGAATGTGTTTAAAGTCAGAGAATTCAGAGGAGTCATTAGGAGAAACAGACAACATGAGGAGAAAACAGTAAAACAGTACTGGTACAACTACAAATGTGAGATGAGTCAAACAAAGCTGGAGTTCAACTAAATGGTATCTGTGAGAGACTGAACTATACAGGTAGCCTTTGTTAGAGGTGCTCCTTATGTTAATGATTTGAGAAATGCCACATGAAAGGAAAGGGTACTTCAGGGTAGAGCAACACAAAGTCTAACTCACTCCACCTGGGGGAAGGTTTGGGGAAGGATTTAGGAGGGATCTGAACAGTAGATAAAGAAAGAGATCACAGATGATGATCCTGGGCTTTATACATTATTTTTAAAAAGTAATAAATACTGAGAAACTATAATGTGATCAGATCACAAATTCAGACGTGATCATAATCAGTATAAAAAAATATTGGTGAATCCAGACTGTCTCATCTATTGAACCTAGTGATCACCGTGAACCTCAGTCTCAGAGACCCTAGAGCTCATCCTCCTCAAGTGGCAACTTCTGTGAAATGCTTTGGGTTTCTGCTTTAATACTGTGTCTGCTATGACTTTGTTTTCCCCCAAGAAAAGTCAACCTTGCCCAAATAAGTTAGAATTAAAAAAAAAAAAAAGTTTACACTGTATGTCTGAGAATGGCTTTATTTGACATCTAGTTACACAAGCCAAAATCCTAGAAGCCATCCTCGACACCTTGTCTATCATCAACCAACTTTAATCCATCACCAAGTTCCATCAATTTTACCTAAATATATCTCAAAATCATCCATTTACATCCATCTCAAAAGATACCATCCTAGTCCTAGTTACCATATTTCTCACCTAGATGGTGATAGCTTATGAACATGTATCCTTTTCTCTACTTTGGTCCTCCTGCAATCTTTTCATCTCCACTTACAATGACCCTTTAAAAACATAAATCTGATCATGTCATTGACTCCTGCTTAAAACTCCTCAATATTCTTAAAGTGGCCTACAAGGCCAAGCACAGATTGGCTCTTGCTCTCCATCCTGCTCTCTGAGCTCAAACCCTATGACCTGCATTTCTGTAAGGACTGGGCCACCTTCCCTTGGAATACTAACTGCTGCTGCCGGTTCGTAAGATTATTAGGATTAAGGTAAAAAGGGTG